AGTATATTAAAGGTGGTAATTTTGTTACAATGATTTTCAAATTGAATCGTTTGACAAAAGTTACACAATAAAAACGAGTTTAAAAGAAATTTTCTTTATAATTAATCATATTTCTTTACTTTTTGGACTTTGAATTTCACTATATACGATTCTGGAATGGTGTAATCCACTAATTGACATAAATTTAATATATTAAAACAGTACTTAAGATTTTTTACAAGAATATAAGTTTTTGTCGCTTTATACAGTAGAATATCTGAGAAGTAAACATATTCAGTAACATAAAATAACCTCTATAATTAAGTCATATATAGTTTTGGTTTTATTACGAACAAATTTCGTGAAAAATAATGTTTTTCCGAGATATGACCTACAATAAAGCAAAAAAAAAAAAAATGTCAAATTTCCACATTTTTCGTAATTTTTATTTCCACACCATTGTATATATATGAAGTTTCTTCCTTGTAAGTCTTTAATTATTGGTGTAGCATTGCAAGGGGGAATTTTATTGTTGTTTAGCCTTGTATGCCTGGAAACACAATGTTTAAAATGTTGAATTACAATGAATAAAATGCTTAAAGTGCATGAGAAACGAACACTGTAACAACAAAATATTAATTTTCTTTACTAGAAATAAAACAACACGTTGCAAATTAGGGAAAAGATTCTTGAAACATACTGTAGGAACACTTTATCCTCTCTGCAATGCCGCCATTATCGAGTATAACCTCATAGGCTTGGCTCTGTTATGATGCTGTTAAGTTATTATGTATACAACACGGAAAGTTTTAAACGCATTTTACTGGCGAATATTTGAGAGTTACATGGAATGACTCTACTGTGAATTACTGGAAAGGCCTAATCGGAGGGGACCATCTCTGTTGGTCTTTTTTATAGTTTATCTACGAAATTTAATATAATGTATGGAGTGTTAATACGAATTTAAAACGTGACGTTATTTTGTTTCAGGTCTTTCTCTTAGATTGTCAAAGAGTAGAAAATTGTGAAGAGAAGAAAGAAGAAGAAAGATCTTATATATTTTTGTTGCTTCCTCCTAATGTTAATTCAACGTTAAATGAAGAAATGAATATCATAAGGTAAAATAATTTCTCAGCTTTATTAAAATTTCGAAATTTACAAACGATTTTATAACTTTTCTTTGTATAAGAAGTTTTAGACTTGCTGTACAATTGTTATAGCGTTTAGAAAACACGAATTAAACAATTAGGACGATAGTCGACACTTAAACAGATAAAATCAATATTAATTTAGCATTAAAACAAACAATTATATCAAAAGGATCATTATTACTTTCAGAATTTCTTAAAAGTTTTACTAATCAAATAATTTAATCAGAAAAATTCTCTAAAACTTACAGAATCGATAAGTAATTTAAATGATAAAATAATAATTTATTTGTCAATTAAATTAGTTATTGATTTCTGTAATCTATGAGATTTTTCTGATTAAACTGCTAATAAAACGTAAACTTTTTGCTGAATGATTGAGCGATTAGAGATGCTACTTCTGTGCATCAAAATCTCATTAAAATATTCGTTGAATATTAGAAAATTTTCTCGGGTGTTTTTCGTTTGATTAACTATTAGAATAGTTATAATTTCGGGGTAAATTAGACTCTGATTTCCTGTACTAATTTGGCATTTATTTTAATGATCAGCCGAGCAGGAACGTGGGTAATGTAACCGAAAAAACGATTTTATTTCTAAAATATTTGCACACTTTATGGTCATTTAATTAAAGAAGAAGAGTTTGAAGTAAAATGAAGAGTTTACAATGAGTCTAATGAGCTCTCTTCTTTAATTATTAATCCACTAGAAAATTAGGCATAAAAATATATATGTATGCAGGGGCTAGCAGAGCCATTTGATCCGCGCACAGAGGGACCCCAGAATTAAGTTTATCTTTACACATTTTTACTTTACCGACTCTGTTATTTACATAACAGAGGGAAAGTATGACGATCGGTTAAAAAAATAACCTCGGGAGTCCTTGAAACGTCAAGAAATGCAAAAAAATTTCGGAGCTTTTTCTGTATGTATGAATGTTTGTGTGGGGGGGAGATTTTGTTCACCCTCTTTAAAGCTTAATAACTCCCATGCTTTTTGTCGAACATTTCTGAAGTTTTGCGTGGAGGTTGGCGTGTTAGGAGGATTAATGCTATTAAATTTTGGTGGTTAAAGGTCGAGGTTGGGGAGATAAAGGGGGAGCGTGTCGTATCTCCAGTAGGGTCGGACTTAATGGCGATTTTACTCGTTATTAACATTTACAATTTTTTTTTTTTATAAAACTTGTCCCTACTCTCAAAATTAAGCTTTTTGCCATTTTATAATATAGTAGCCCTCATTATATCGCGCTTGTCGGGAGATAAAGAAAAAATGCGATATATCCGAGTATTAAAAATTCTGGGTTTTTACTGAACAGATTATACATACTATGGAAACTCAATCCTCTATTCTTTCATCAGCAAGTGTTTCCGATATAAAATAAGCTTAGTTTTTAATACTTAATTTTATTCGTGATTATATCGTATTAATTAACGTTTACGTAAACATCGATACCACCAACGCCCATTCAGCATTATTGTTTCTTTAACAATGACATTTAAAGACAAATACTGTCCATATAAAAACAAAATATCGGTTGCGATTTTATTATACAATACTATATTTCATAATAAATATTAAAAATTCGTATAATTTATATTCTTCAAAANCTCTCTCTAATTAGTCTTTAAAAACATTAATTATTTTTTCACTTATAGCTTCGGTAATTGTCTGTTTAAATGACATAAAGAAATAATAATTTTTTTTAATTAGAGCTTTATATAATTTTTTAATAAATAATTTAATGTTAATTATATTTTAATTATTCACTAATTAAATGCAAGATGATGAATTTATTAATGAATATTTATTTACTTAAGAATATTTCTTACTAATTACTTTATAATTTTTTTTTCTGTTGTTATAATTTAATTCTTTTTTCTCATGAGTAAATTCATACGTTACATTAATTACACCGTAACATTCATTGCCAGGCAGTTAAATGAATATTTACTATGTTATCTAAGACCCTATACGTTTAAATAACGAAAATATTTTAGGAAATCATCCAGTATCTATCGGATAATTACTGAATGTATAATTCTTGTCAAGCATAAGAAGTAAATAAGCTTGATGATGAAAGAATTTAAGCTGGTTAATCAAAGCATAAGATTTTAATGACAAAAACAATTTCTTTTTTTAATTCGGAGTCACTATAAATTGTTTACTTCTGAATATTTCTAATTTAAAATTTTATTTTCAAATTTATCGTTAGACATTTTTCAGATTGTCCCTCTGCCAACTCTTAATGAATGTTATCATTTAAGTGGTGGGGATGATTCAAACTGGGCATATATTAATTAAGTGAGGTTGCATGATTCACGTGTCATGCGTTAATGACACGAAACACAACAAGATAAATGTCACAATTATTATTCGACACCAGAAAAAAAAATGTCTGTATATGTCATGCATAGATATAATAATGGTAAAATTGTAAATGGTAGGCTGAGAATTTGAAGTTGCTGCGTTATTGTGTTTTATTTTTAATTTTTTTCGAGGAAATTGTTATAATTCGCGTTACGAATATAAAAATTTAACAAGTAATTCAAATTATTTTACTGTTATCTAATTAGTATGCAGCCAAAGTGAAGTCAAGTTGTTAAATTATTAGTTTAGAGAAAATTTGGTCGCGTACAAAATACTTAATTGGTTAAAATTGCAATTAGAATCTTATGCTATTGAAGTTTCCATGGGATAATTGTGTTTTATTTCGAAGTTTTTAGAACGAAAAAATTTCCCATCGATTAGAGTTTGTTTTTGTATTAATAAAATAGCTTCGATTTTAAATGAAAGTTAATGATAAAATTAATCTTTTAAAAAATACTGTAGAATGTACAAGCAACGTTCCTTAATTTATAAGATTTCTTAATAATTGAATTAGTTAAAAAATACTTATTAAATGTATAAAAATTATGAAACATTGTAAGCAATAATTCATCATTTTGTTTTAACACTGTTGGACCCAACAGTGTTAAAGTTTAGTGGCGGATCTACGTAAGGGCTAATAGGGCTTGAGCCCAGGACCCCACCTTTTAGAGGAACCCGAGGCACAACGCAAAGTGTGTAATTATTAACTAAGCGATAGAACATATGAGTATAAAACAATATTAATTTAAAAATTTCTTGTAGCTCTCTTAGTGCTCACAGGACAGAAAGAATCGGTGAAAATTTTTATTGTTAAAGTTAAAATGTATTTTAGAAAATTCTCTTATTGGTCATGTTTTTCGAGATTGAGTGAGAGGAATGGTAGGGTGACCTCACCCATACTATGTACCTGTACAGTAAATCATTACATTTACACACACACACGACACATTGGTTAAATTCTACATTTGTGTTATGTTTGTAGAATTTCGGAGTGGAACCACTCCCTAAAACGTCATTAAAATGCATTGTCCTCAAAGTTTCAGCCTTCTATCTTAATTAGAAGTGGATGATATTTGAGGACGATGCAAAGCAAGTTAAATAAAAGCGTTTAAAAATAATTGTAATGAGGCCACTGGCTATTAAATAACTTTTCTATATTTTCGATAGATTTATATACAGATATGTACGGCCTAAAATGTGCAAATCATAGAACACTTCTTGTTGAAATCTATTTTATGATGGACTATGGGGAATTTTTTAAAGAAGTTAGTATGATCTCGTTTGGCTAAACTACTTATAGTGCTTGGAAATAAACTACAAAGACATAAAAATATTTTTTTATTAATTAAATATTTAAAAATATTTTTTTTATTTTAAAAAGTTNTCGACTTTACAGAGAAACTTTGGCTTTTTAGAAGTAATTATTAGAAGTAACTGTTATATGATTTGCGAATTATAATTGAAGTTATTTGCCTAGTAATAAATATAATTTTTTATTGCTTCTAGGCACATTATCATCAGTTGTGGGCCAACATTTACGAAAGAATTATGGAGGACTGCCTGCGTCTGTCTACAACGAGCATTTTCGGTGAGTTTACACGCCGTACGCCAGTTAATGGTGTGTTTTCATACAGATTCGGAGAATTTCTACGGTGACATTGGCCAAGTCAAAGTGGCAGTTAGAAGAGATTGCACCCTGCAAGAATACGAGAGACTTCAGGAATTGGCACAGCAGGTATTATGTTAATTTTTTACTCTACATACTTAAACATTAAATGTTGCACATCCCTTCAAGATACTTTCCTAATTCATATGATAACATATTACCAAACACAGTATAGTTTCGAATTTAAGTCTCTCTCACTTGTATAAATTAATTTTTAGGAAAAATTTGATGATAAGGTCATTCTCCATTATAGGCCTTAAAAGTCCTGCTTGATGCCCAAGAAGAAGAGTAAAAACTAAAAGAAGCGCGCAGAACATTCACATCTAGTTATCATGGTATCGAAAATGGTCGTATTTACAATATGTAAAGGAACAATATCAAATTATAGACATAAAAATTGCATGTTTTTATTGTTTATTATGACCAGAAAATTAATGGAATAACACAATTTAAGTTTTAAATTATCATTCAACAAAAGTAATCACGTGAGTAACTTAGACGAGTGACGAAATTCTATACTTAATGTTAACATTTCTTTAAATTAATGTGCAGATGTGTTAATTTAAACGTTAATTTTGCTGCTCAATTGCTAATTATAAAGACTTTTTAAAAAAAAAATTATTATTATTTACTATGAAATCGATAAATTTCCACATAAAAAATAATCATCAACTAAATTCAAATGAAAATTAGGATTCTTGAGCCAATTATAATAAAAAATAGGGAATAACAGTTTCTACAGCTTAGAATAAGACAGACTTTATACAGAAAAACCGTAAATGGGAGCCGGTAGTATTTCTTAAAGTTTTTCTGCGATAGAGAGCTATGAAGATAATCAATCAGGTGGGATAGAAGAGCCAGCAGAGCTATTTGGATCAGACTCCGGATACGGATGGGCCAACAAAATTTGGTATTTCATATATTTAAAAATATCATACGAAAGTGATATAAATTAAAATTTCTATTGATAAGTGGCGAAATTTTTTTAAATTTTATTCATTTTACATATATAGGGGAGATCGGGGCAACTTCGGCATGCGGGGCAAGTTTGTCAAGCGCTTTTTTTAAAAAACAAATTAAAAGGAGACTTTGGTTATAGGTTAGGCAGTTGAGTTTTATTGGTGGCTTGTTGAGTGTAGTGTTTTTATTGTTCTCCAACAAGCGTAGTTGAATTATCAAGCAAATTTTCATTTTCGTT